CACACCCGTCCACCATAGCCAACCACCTCCAACCCTTCTTCTTCCTCCATCACCCACACCCGTCCACCATAGCCGACCACCTCCAACCCTTCTTCCTCCTCCATCACCTACACCCGTTCACCATAGCCAGCCACCTCCAACACTTCCTCTTCCTTCATCGCCCGCACCCGTCCACCATAGCCAACCACCTCCAACCCTTCTTCTTCCTCCATCACCCACGCCCGTCCACCCAAAAGTCTAAAAAGGGGGGGGGTCGCAGGGGGGGTGCACGGGACTTCGAATAGGATCGGTTAGGGTAAGTCAATGAGCAAGGTCGATTAGGATGAGAAACTTCTTTTCTCTCTCTCTCTCTCTCTCTCTCTCTCTCTCTCTCTCTCTCTCTCTCTCGTCCTCTCCCTCTCCCTCCGTCTCCCTCCGTTCCTTTAAAACTCTTTAACCCCTAACCTTTCCATCACCCCTTCCCCCTCCATGGCATGTGACTAACCTCTACCCTCACCTGTTACATTGCCAGGGAACGAACGGAACGGAACTTGGTCCTCACTTGGTGGAAAGCGAGGGCAAGGGAAGGGTTGTCGGTCCCTTGTGCCACCAAGAAGGAAAGGATACGAGACTATTGAGGACAATTGTGAAAGCAAAAAGGAGTGTTGCTTTTGCGACGAGGTCAGTTTGACTCAACCATCCTCCCGGAATGCATGACTGAGGCGATCACGTGGCTTGCCTGTGTGAAAGGGAAGGGAACTCATAATGGGAATCGGAAGGCAAAGGCAACTTAGGATTGCGGGAAGGGGCGATGTGTTGACCCCAATGGGGATTGTACTTGGTCATTTGTCTTGTGTGGTCTTGTGCAGGTGAGTAGCTAGGGACGTTTTGGACGGGGCTGGACCCGCGGATGAGGACTAGGGGGGGAGATTGGCTAAGGAAAGGACTTGGATCCGGCTTAAGCCATGGATGCAGGATGAGTTGAGGCCGGGCGCTTGGGTGGATGGTTGATGCATGGACTTGGTTTGTGTGGAGGTGGCATAGAATGTCTCTCTCATGTGCAATGCGACCCTTGAAAAGACTAAGGGCGGTTTTGGTTTGGTGATGCGATGCTAGTGGCTCTCGCAAAAAAAATATACGGCTAGGGGCTCGGGCGACGCCGCCTTACCCCAAGAATGTCGTCGGGGCTGCCCAGAGCCGCTAGGCTTAGTGAAAAGGTGCGTGGCCCAATGGATGGCGCTTGGCCTGCGCACGATAAGAAGATGAGACTTCAATGAACTCCGTGGACTTCCTGCGTATTGGAAGGAGCAATTGCCTGGTCAGACCTAAATGAATCAAGAAAACGCCACGAGTGCCTAAAGAGCTACCATCTTGACGCGAGAGCGGGGCTACATCCCCCAATGTAAAGTCCTCTCGCACAAGGCCCATCCCCATCTATCTCATAGCACTAGGTGGGGGTGCCCCTGGGAAGAACGACCCAGGCCGAGGGCTTGAGCGTGGGCGGGTCGAGCCAAGTGGGACCCGCAGTGGGGTCGACCGAGGCTCGAAAGTCCTTCAGGGTACGACCCCTACAAAAATGGTGGAGCCGCCGGGTACAGGGTTAAACTGACCTATACAGTCTCGAGGGGGGCGCCCGACGCATGACCGCGAACATAAACATGAAGAGAAGGAAATAGGAATTGTGTGTGCCCTATCCCTTTGAGCGAATCAGATTTGAGGGTGGCTGGGCGCATGGCAAGGCCAGGCCTGGAGGAAGAACATGCATGCTTGTACTAATGTTCGTCAGACCAGGGAAGCCTTGGGCAAGCCACAGGTCGACCCTTCCTGTTCGTGCGAAAGAAGGGCTCCGGTTACCTGGTAGGCGATTGGGATTCCGGGCTAGTCCGGGTTCCGATGAAAATCCCGTGGCGGAGTGATCCGACCGACACGGGTGCTCTCCTTCCTTTTCTTCGGAGCCCAGCGGGCTCCATGCACCACACTTAATGCCTGAAGGAACTTCATATGAACACAAAGGGTAATCAAGAAGGAACAATCCTGCCCTATGCACGGACACCCAAGCGAAGATAAGGGAATGAAGGGAGTTGCTAGACTCCAAGAAAAACTAGCTCACCCTTGAAGATGCTCACGAGAAGGAACCAGGCACTATGTATTGATGCTAGGGGAGAGTGGCACGCACTGTCCTGAGAGAAAAAAAAAAAAAAATTGCGAGTTATGGGTTGGAAGCGCGGGGTGCACCACGGAAAAGGCACTTGTGTTATGTGTGTCCCACTTAGGGCTTGTGATTGCATGATTGGGATTTCGAGCATCCTGCCATTTGGAAGGAAAAGGAGGGTCTGCACCCGCCACTGCGGATTGCCAAACACCGTTCTCTTTGCAGACTGCTGTTTGTTGGTATGCGGGGGTCAGGCCACCGACCTGTTTAACGGGAGTTTGTCACGTCGAGTGCTTATTAGCATTCTCGTCCGTGCGGTGACGGGCTTCGGCTCGATTGATCCGTCGGGCGAAGTGTGAAACGTTCCTCAGGCGGGGCGTGAAACGTTTCTCAGGCGGGGCCTAGCCTGTGGACTGGCGGAGGGAGCCCCACTGTGTGGGGGCAAAGACGAAACTTGGGAGGCGGTCAGTAGCTTCTCGTAGCCTGGTTTGGGAAACGCTGTTCCTTTTCGGACCGATGGAAGTGAATGCCTGGACGGCTGGCTCCAATGGCCCTACCGAGATGTGCGGGGTGATTCCCAAGATTAACGGTGGGTACACGAGCGGCAAGTCGGGATGGGATATTCTGGGCAAGAAGGTGAGGGCGACCCCCCACTGGAGTCTCGGTACCGATCTCGTGACGGTTGAGCTGTGCTTGAGGTATGGGATAAAACCCTGCCGATGGTAACAGTGGAGAGACCATTTCTGGGGAAAAGGTCGGTGAGGAGATGACCGACCTGTGTGCGACGTTTGCCTGAGTTTTGCTTTTTGTACCTCCCTCTGTAAAGTTGCCTGATGAATGGTGGATGGGGACCAGCTTCTAAGTCTATTCTCACCTCCAAGTCTAAGTCCGCACGAGTGAGAGAACATGAGGAAGAGGCTGGATAGGAGTCGAAAGAAAAAGGAACCCCGAGAAAGCAATGTCGACTAAGCATGATCGATTGGGGGTATGGTAGGACAATGGCACCTGGGAAATGGATAAGAAAAGTTAGGGAGACCCGGATGAGGGGTCTGAAAACAACTCTCATCAAGAAAAGGAAAAGCAAACCATCTGACCATGAGGGGCCGTGTGGTGCTCTCATGTGGAAAATAGGACAAGCGTCGGGAAACAAGATGGGGCGATGGTTGTCGCCTCCTGTCTACTCTAGTGGTCCGGAAATGCCTATACAGGTGAGGGACGGGGTATCTGTTGTTCTCCCGAAAAAAGGGAGGTGGACCGACCTAGAACTGGCCTATGAAACCGTGATGTTGGACGAGAAGGATGCGTTCCTCTGAATAGAGACAATCTGGACTAAGGTCAGCCTAACGAGACTTTCACCTAGCTTGTTGGACCTACAATTTCGGGGAACAGTGGAAGCTCGAGGATGGGTTTACCTATCAAAAGAATTGGAAAATGCAATGGTAGTGGGACTAGTATTGGGCACGGCACGGGATCAGCTGTTTAGGCAAGCGGAACGGGAAGTGGTATGGGCAGCATGTTAGCGGGCAGAAATGGAGATGGAAAGGATGGAGGTGCGAGTGGAACTCGGGAACCGGAGAAATATGAGACGTCCTCTTAGGACAATGAGGTGTGTGCTACCCTCGTTTCTGGTGGATGCAGTCTTTGGGACCGGGGATAGACTGGAACGTATATGCCAATCGATGACACACCTGAGGCTGTACCAATGTGCTAGACAAAACTTCTTTAGACTGTCGGTGGAAGCAGGGCCGTTTGAAGGAAACTGGGCGGAAGAATTAGCTGAGATGTTAAACCTCCTCAGCGCGGACGAAGTCTTTGTTCCTAGTCCGGTGTATTGGCAGATAGTTTACCGAAACGTGGCAGCGGGGGAAACCTTCTTGGAAGGGGTGAAAGAGATGTTCTTAGAAGAGGAGGAGGATTTCAGTGATGAGGACCGCGGGGACAAGATAGAGGACTGGGACTTCTGAGGGCGGGGCGCTTACCTGGGGAAAACGGGTTGTCGACTATTTGCAGGTAGGGAGCGATGGCCCGAGAACTCGAATTATGGGGCTGCACATGGGATTCAAGACGAGCCGGAAGGGGAGTAGAGATGTCAATACCGCCAAGCAATGAATGGAAGGGGACCACATGTGATTGGCGGGGGTATGAAATTGTGTCGGAACTGTCATACCTATGGATAGAACGTGTTAGGAACCCGTTGAGGGAAGAGGAAGGATGGGAGGAGATTGCGGAAGGCAGGGTGGAATCGGTTGGAACGATCGTTCTCTCTGAACAAGGTTGGCACCTGTTCTGCACAACGCTTGCGGCAGGACACAACCCGATGTGGCCTTTAGGGGACGCTGAGGCAAGCGCTCAGCAGTCGGGGGAAAGGTTTGCTAACAAAGGTTGGGATACGGTCAGCAGTAGAGTCGTGATGGGAGGATGGAAAAAATTTAAACTGCCCGCGCACATCAAGACTTGGATGCCCGAGTTCGTGGCGGACTGGTTTGGGGGTTTTATCACGTAACAGAGGTAGCCGACACGATGGAGCGAATATACGTAAACTGCGCATGGCTGGCAGGGGAATTCTATAGGACGTCCTTGAAATACGGGCCCTTCCACGGCGATAGGGCCCGGGAGGTCCTTATCATTTTGGATATCGAAAGGAATGACAGGCAGGAGGTGGCCCCGGAAACTAGGGAGGCCATAATCCGTCGTGAGGTAGCAGCAACACCTTGCTATGTGGATGATGTGTTCAAACTGTTCGAAGTACTGTGGTTCGACTAAGCGCGGGAAAGCCGGGGGGCCAGGCAAATATGAAAAAAATTGCTAAGACAAGGGAATGGGATGTCTGGCCATTGTAGGGTTTAGTGCGGATCGCGAGCCTGGAGATCGAAGGCGAGCGTGCGATGGCGCAAAGAAAGACGTTCCTTGAGGAACGCCACTTGGGCATTGAACCACCAAGGGAAGTACCGGGTGCGATAGAGGTTAGCTTGTCGGCGGCAAGTGAAGGATGGCCCCAGGTGCCAGATTGGGTCGGGGTCGAGCTTGCGAAAAATATGGTTTACTTGGTGACGAAAGTTGTGGCATGCGGATGAGAACGGGGAATGGAACCCGGACCTGCGGGGGCATGTGCGTGCAGAAGGACGACTGTATGTGTCAGAGGATGGGTGGAGGGAGTTCGGAGTTTGGCTGGCATCAGGAGAAGACCCGTTGAGCATGTTTGAAGGGGCATGGCAGTTAGTATGGTGAGCGGGATTTGAGTTCGCAGATCCGGGGGTTGACGATGTAACAACGGACCTTAGGGTAGCCATAGTCTCAGTTTCAAATAATCTAGTGAAAATGTACAAATGAGGTTGCCGCCCTTCCTGCTGGAAAGGTTGGGCGGTCTGGGACTTGTTAGACGAGCGGTAGCCGACCTCGCAAGCCTAACATATGAAGATGCGATGGTACATTGAGAATAGTATCGGGCCTTCCTAGAAATGGGCCCGTTTAGTGGAGAGCAGAAGTACGAGGTGTTGCGCATCCTGCATTCTGTGTTTAGCACCAGGCCGAGGGCTCCGGTCGTGGGAAGTGAGGTCCTGTGGGGTGTCATCCTACGGGAAATAAGTCAAGGGATGGTGTACGTGGATGATCTGTACCGATTGTATGAGCCGATGGACGTAGGGACGGACCAATAAAAGAGGTCAAGGAAAGAAAAGAAAGGTTCAAGCTAGAAACCGGGGAGTGTTCGGGCGGGAGCTGAAGATTAAATGAAATAAGTAAAACAGCTTGCTGTTTAAACTGTGCAGGGGACTACTAAGTCAAAAATGACGATGAGACGCGCTCGGATGATGCGAAGGTTCACACACCCGCGGCCACCCACGGAAAGTGGAGGCGGATGGGAGGTATCGCTCCCAGCAAGCTACATGATCCAAGGATTGGACATCGAATGGAGGGCCGTGACCCTGGGAAGAGGTCAGACGTTCATGATGGTGGAATGTTTGTGGGATGGTATGAGAATTAACAGGGGACCGAGATACGATCTGTATACCGATCTTAGGGTAACGGGGACCATATACCTGCCGGAACTTGGATGGTACATGCTAGGAATGGAATTGGCACTAGGTCACGGGTTGCTACCAATCTTCCGGAGGGCTACTAGGATGTTGAACAAGGTGGGCCAGGAAGTGCGGGGGAGAAGGAACGTGGGATTAAGAACTCGGGTGGAGGTCGGAGGCTGGGGAGAGTTTAAGGCCCCAATCACCGGGTTGAGGTGTCGAGTACCTCGTTTCATGGTGGACTTGGTATTCGGTAGCCTCAAGAGAGCTAGGGACCTGGTGGATTCGACCCTGGTCTGGATCCACCTCTTCCGCCCACAAAAAACGAGCATGTTCTACGATGTGTCGGTCAGACATGGGCCGTTCTTGGGGAATCAGGTCTGGGAACTACTCGAATTACTCGAGATCTTGATATTCGGATTGCCCCACCTGTCGTTTGAAGAATATGAGCCAATATCAGGGAAATAGAGATGGCGGAAAATTACCTTGCTGGGTTGGCTGACCTGTTCGAGGAACCGGATGAGCAGGGCAAGCCAGAGGGACCAGCATGAGAAAACGTGTCAGGGAGAAGTAGGGAAATAAAGGATGGATACTAAGATAAGTAGGCAGCCATCAGCAAAAGAGGGGTAGTGGTTGGAGTTCCGGCCGAACCAATGATGCGGCAGGGAGGAACTAGGAAGACCATCCGCTCCAAAGATTATGGGGCACCTGGATGCCAATAAGCCGAAAGGGCCATCCCCGATAGGAAAGCCACTGGGCTCAGGCACCGCCCTAAGAATCAAAGCGCCACAGTAATGAAATGCCAAGCGGCGGCGGCAAGGCTCCAGAAGAACAAAACCAGAAGGATGCCCCAGGAGAGAAAAGTCAGCAGAGTCGTACTGATTAATGTAAGACGCAAAAATATGGGAATAGGCGGGTCCTTAGGGCCGGGACTAGGGCGGTTATGAACAACCGGCCGCTTTTTCGCAAAAACAATTTTCCATGAGCAGGCTAGTTAAAGAAATGGCGACGGAGGAAGGGATTGATGACCAGCAGAGTGGAGGAAATCAGGGCACGAATGGGGATGGGGAACGAAATGAGGGATCAACTAGGGATCGAGAGTCAGCCAAACTAGAAGGAACCCGAGAAGACGGAAAGGACGCCTCAATTGGAGAAAGCTCGGGGAAAGCTGGGGGTAGCAAAAGGGGACCTCAGGAAAACAGGGAAGGGGGAAACGATATGAGAACAAGTCCTCGGAACTCAGCAGGAGCCACCCCTAAAAAGACGAAAGTTTTGGATACCCGTCGTAAACTGGCAGAGATAGAAAAGCGGACTGCAGAATTGAAGGCAAGACTTATCGAGCAGATGATGGCCGGGGATGAGGAGGACCCCCAGGACGCAGGGTCACGTGAAGGGCGTAGGATCGGCCAGGACGACGCCAGGTACGAAGGAAAGCATAATAGTCACAAGGGAACGCCTAACAAGAAGGGGAAGGACAAGGATGACCCCCCAGCGGAAGGGACGGAAAACGCTATGACCCTGCCCGCCATTGACAGCGGCACTAGCCGACTGCCCGTCACGCCGAAAGTAACGGGGGCGTGTGATGGACTCTGGAGCCTTAGGGAAAGGGTGCTAGGGTGGTTCGACCCGGAAGGAACACCGAAAACCGGGGAGAAGCRGAGGGAAAGCAAGGAGGGAGAAGGGACTAGTGCAGTTGGGGAAGGGGGTAGCTCCGAAGGTGGGCTCAAAAAGATAGTCACCACCCTCACCCGGGCACTGAACAAAAACCATGGGTACCTCGCAGATGCAAAGAAGAAACTCACGTTCGACGGGGCAAACATTACGGAGTTTTTGATAGACTATGAGAACCTAGCAGCCTTACTGAAATGGACGGAAGAGGAAAAGATGGAGCACCTAGGGCAGCACGTGTCGCTAAGCTTGGGGAGGGACATTATGGCCATCGTAGCGTCCAGTGGATCCTGGAAAGAAACCAAAAATGAGATGATGAGGAAATACCTGAAGGCAGAAAAAATGGCAACAGAGGCCGAATTAACCGTAGTTCAGAGGAAAAACTATGCGACTTACAACGATTTCCTAAGGGCATTTACGGTAGTGGCGCTGCGAATTCCCGGAGTAACGGATCGCATAATGAGTAAATACTTCCTCAGGCAGTTCTCCAAGTTTGATAAGGATAAAATTTTGTCAGCATACCAGCAGACCAGTAAGTTAGAGTACACGAGAGATGTGGACTTCAACACCGTAACAGACCTTGCGAAAAAGACAGTGGTCACCGAGACACTAGCCCTACTTAAGGAAGGGGAGGTCATAGATCTGACCGGGAAAACAAGAGATAAGGTTAAGAAAGGGATAGAATGCCTGCACGAGCGAGTGCATGGGGTTGACAGCAAGATGGAAAGAATGGAAAATGCGTTGTTAGTAATGCAAGCGCAAGTGTCCAGAACCGCCCTCCCGCCCCAAGAGGCCGTGGTTCCGGCAGCTGTAGCAAACCGGGGATTTGGTAGGATGGACCCGGCTAACGAACAATGCAAGTATTGCACCATGATCGGGCATTTCGTACGGGCCTGTCCGAGACTCAATCACGATATCGAGCGGCAGAGGTGTAGTAGGTCTCTCAAAGGCGAGATCCTCGGACCCAGGGGGGAGCGGTCAATTGGAACTCACCAGGAGGGATGCGACGAGCTGTCATCCTCCTGAATAACTTAGAGATAGTTGCCGTAGAAGTAGAGCCGATAGCCGAGATTGTCTGGGACCAGCCAAGGGGACGGGGACCACATGCCAATTTTATCCTAGAAGGCAATGGCCGGGATAGGGTAAACATCACCACTCGCCAGGCCGGCGCAAAAAAAAAGTTTATTCAAGATACAGTAATGGAAGAACTCGCAGGGACTAGCGTGGGCCAGCAAGAGACCGAAGCCGGGGAACAAGAGAAGGTCTATGGGAAGCCAAGAGAGGACAAACCGGTAGACAAGGCTACGGTGGTAAAAAAGAAGTTCAAGTATCAAATTCCGATCATGACTTCGCCAGAAATCGATAGCACCTTCAGTAAGCTACTGGGTACCATGGTATCGGTGTCTTTTCAGACCATGCTGCAAGCCAGCCCGAGGCTGCTTAAAGGACTCAGGCAGTTGTTAACGCGTAAGCGCGTAGAAGTAGAGGAGGCCCCAAAACTGCAAGAGCAGGACACGGAAGAGGCCAAGGCGCCGGAAGGAGTCACCAACCTCCAAAGCATTTCAGGGGGCCTGGGAGATTTGGAGAAAGCCTTTGCGGACATCAGCCTAAGCCTACCGGATCGTGAAGGTGGCGAAGTCATGAGGGCGCCTCCCAGGACAAATCTTAGCTTTCATGCATTACCAGTTGGGAAACTTAAAGTTCAAATCGGAACTCACCACACTGACGCGTTAGTGGACGGCGGAGCAAAAATCACCCTCATATGACGGGATTTCGCAACGGTCACGGGGTGCACGGTAAACAAGGAAGTAGCAGGGAGTATCCGGGGAGCCGGTGGCGAAATTCCTTATACAGGTTATGTCACCAAATGTGCAGTCAGGGCGGGAATCCGGGAATCCATCTGGTCCTTTCAGCGGATGACCGTGATGGAAGAAATGGATCACGACGTAATCCTCGGGAGACCATGGTGCGCCAATGTGGAAATGATAGGAATGCATCTGCACGACGACACATACATGGTAGACATTGAGGACCCAGTGACCGGCCGCGGGGAACTCCTCCGACTTCTTGGGACCGAAGGGGACCCTCCGAAGGCAAATTGGCAACTTGGTCTCCAACATTCGAAAAAAGTGTGCGGAAGGGGGCATTCGCACGAATGGAAGGCATGAGGGAAAGGGTAGAAATTATGATCGAGGAGGCTTTTAGTAAAAAGGAATGGATCAAGATTGGTCTGCCCGTAAAGAAGAGGAGGCCAGAGGACGAGCCCCGGCGGTTATGGTGGCGGAAAAGGAGGTGGAAGTTGAACTTGGGGCCAGCCTGCCCAAGCCAAAGGAAGGGCGTAACGAGACCCCCGAGCTAGCGCTCGAAATCCCAAACCTGTTGAAACTTGTTAAGGCAATCAGGTACCACAAAGTGGAGGTGGACCCGGCAACGCTTGCCAAGTTTGAGGATGAGGTTCGAAAAGGCTACTGCCTGAATGGGAAGATAGTTAGCATTCAGCCCCGTATCATGGAAATAGCAAGGTAAATCCCGACCGTTCATTTTTAAGGAGAACGATCCTAGAAGGCAGTGTGCGAAAATACAAACCCGTAGGAAAGAAGGCCAAGCCAGTCTCGATCCTAGTAGAAACATCAAAGGAAGAGGCCATGGAAAAAGAGGAGGAGATCCTACGGGTTATAAGGGAGAGACGTGCAACGGAAGGTCATCGCATACCAGATGATGTAGCAAACACCATGAAAATAGGAGTGGAAGGATTCCTMACACCGGAAGAGACTCAGTTGATAAGAAAGGCGTGCCAGGAGTTCCATTTAGCTTTCGCTTTCAATGATCATCAGAAAGGGCGATTGGATGAAAAGCTAGTTCCCCCTGTCAGGATCCACACCGTACAGCACGAGTGTTGGAATGATAAAGGGTCCGCATATGAGTTTGGGATAGCAGCGGAGGTCAACGACCTGCTTAGAGCCAAGATAGATTCCTTCGTGGCTGAACCCACCGCATCCCCCTACACGAACAAGTGGTTCGTGTTCAGGAAGCCCAATAAGACGCTCAGGTGGATCCARGACTTGCAGAAGCTAAATGCGGTAACAATTAAGGATGCAGACTCGCTTCCACATGCCGACTTATTGGCAGAATCTCATGCAGGGCGGAGCATTTACTCCCTGGTAGACTTATACTCAGGATATGATCRGTTGCCGCTCGAYGCGAGGGATAAACCGTACACCGCAATGGACACCCCCGTAGGACAGCTGCAGATGSAAGTGACCCCTATGGGCTTCACAAATGCGATAGCAGAAGCGCAGAGGAGGATGCTCGCCGTTGCAGGAGATATGTTTTCGGAAAAGTGTGAACCTTATATAGATGATAATCTTGTAAAAGGTGCAAGATACAAGGACGAGGCGGAAGTCCAACCRKGTGTACGGAAGTKTGTTTGGGATCACTTGCAGGATATTAAGGACCTGCTCCAGCGATTCCTAGTTTACAATATTACTAGAAGCGGACCCAAGAGCATCCTGGCTGTCCCGGAGGTAACTATACTGGGATTTCGCTGTGGGGCCTATGGGAGGAGACCCGACCCATCAAAAACTGATAAGATCTCTCAGTGGTCGACACGTCTGCGTACCACGACGGAAGTACGAGCCTTCCTAGGGGTGGTTGGATTCTGGAGGATCTTCATCAAAGGTTTCGCAAAGATAGCGGAACCTATCCGCCCGATGATTACGGAAGGTGGAACTAGGATAGGGAAGAGGCAGCCCAGACCCTGAAAGACATCCTGTCATCCGATCAGGTTACTCTAGCAGCACCCTATTTCAATGACGAGGTAGGACGGCCTTTCATCTTAAAAACAGATGGGGGACCACTGGCAGTTGGAGGCGTATTGATACAGAGAAGTGAGGAGGGCAAGGAAAAGCCAATCAGATTTGAAAGTAGGACTCTGAATTCGGCAGAACGGCGGTACTCAYAGTTCAAAAAGGAGGTCTTAGCGATTCTGCATTCTCTTAAGACCTTCCAGGCATACCTGTTCGGAAGGCGATTTATCCTAAGGATCGATCCCACCAACGTTGTCGGGGCCCTAAAGAACTACAAGCCTATAGATCCGACCGTTGGCAGATGGATAGGCTTCACATGGCAATTCGACTATAAGGTCGAGCGGATYGCAGGGCTCCGAAATAGGGYAGATGGGCTGAGCAGGGTATGTATCACGCCAGAAGGAGTAGAGGACGAGGAACCAATTGACRCCTTCCTGGAATACGAASGAGGGACCCTTGTTGTGGATAATGAGATGGCAGACCCAGCGATTACAACAGGTCAGTTGCTGATTCAGACCTTGGAAAAAGGCGCACCTGCAGTAGTTGCAGAACTCGGGGAAGGACCAGTCACCACGGTCAGGCGTAAAGAGGAGAAGGACTCGTGGGGAGCAGAAGTAGGGGCCAGGGGAGAGCTGATGGCGATGGCCGTGGAAGGGGGACGGGACGCCGTAATGATGTTGGCCGAAACCTGGGCGGAGAAGAAGTGTCAGTACCTAGTCAACCTCACTCGGGAGGAGCAGGGTACGGATCAGAACGAACAGGAATTCTTCCTCATACAGATGTATGAGGGCGTCTTCAAAGAAATCGGTTTGATGCTTGTAGGGAACAAACAACCCACGGAAGTCAGTCCCAAGGCAAGAGACGAAGTCGAAAAGTACGTCCTAAGAAATGGCCACCTGTTCAAGAAAGAGGAAGGGTTGATGCCTAGACGCGTCGTTTGTGGGAGGTCTAGGCAGCTGGACGTAATTCAGGCAATGCATGACGGGCTAGTTGGAGGTCACCGGTCGTCTAAGGGGACACTTGCGAAGATCGTGCCCCTGTACTTTTGGTCAGGGATGGCAGCCATGGTCGCAACATATTGTCAAACGTGTCTGATATGTCAAGAAAGGAGCTCCGTACGAGTTTACGAGCCCCTTAGACCCACTCGGGTACTCGGACCCGGACACCTTGTTCACCTCGATCTTGCGGTTATGCCCGTATCGACGGATGGGTTTAGATACATCTTGGATGCAAGGGATAATCTCAGTGGCTATGTAGAGGCCATAACCCTCAAAAAGAAGACGAGGAAAGCAGTGGCCGATTGGGTGGAAGATTTCTACCTAAGACACCCCTTCGTGCGCAGGTTTATTGCAGACAATGGGACAAAATCCGTTAACCAGGAGGTATTGAACAGGCTTAAGACACTGTGCGTACCAATCAAGATCACTGAACCCTACCACCTTGAGGCAAATGCACCAGTAGAAAGGGGGCACCGACCTTGAAAAACACAATCGCTAAGCTTGCACCAGACAACTTGGGGAACTGGCCACGGTACCTTAAGGAGGCAGTCTTCTCGGAGAACATGATACCAAAGAGAACGACGGGTTGCATTCCAGCGGAGCTAGGGTATGGAAGGGAGATTGACTTCCCAGTGGTCCCTACCTGGAACAGTTTAGACGATAATCCGCACTTGACCACGCAGGAGTTAATCACCGCACGTTGCCAGCAAGTCGCCAGGAATGAGGAGGCATTGAAGCAAGTAGTTAACCGTGTAACGGATAGCCGAATGAAGGACAAAGCAAGGTGGGACCAGGTCAAGAACATTCGGAAAGAGCCACTCAAAGTGGGGGAGAAAGTGTTAGTTAGAAACTCGGCCCTTCAAACCACATGGTCTGGGCAGCTGGGAAAGAGATTCAAAGGGCCCTACAGGATTGCTAAGCGGGTGGGACTGAATACATTCGAACTTGAGGATCTTGACGGTACTAGCATAAGAGGACCATTTTCGAGACAGAGACTGGCCAGATTTCTGAGCAGGGATCCGGTGGAACAATAGTTACAAGAAGCCCAGGACAGGGAAACTGGGGAATTGACAGCCTGAAAGGCAGGCAACTGGCTATAAGTTCTGGACTGCCTCCCTGTGGAAGTGATCATGACCACAGGGATTGTTCATTTGTGTGTCTTGCTTTTTGTGGAACATGAGGAGACTGCCTGGGCTGACTGTGACTGGGCTTGGGAGCACGAAACAGGGTATTATAGTCTTTGTGGGGTAACGCTGGAGACTGTCTACACGAGGTATTTATCTGAGGGGACAATGTACCATAGTTTTTGTGGGGTGATGTTGTGGACTGCCTACATGGGGCACCTATGTGTTGGGACAATGTGTCGAGGGTTCTAAGGGATAATGGGACTACCAACTATATGGTGGCAAGCAAGAGTTATAGGGAAGCCTCCAAAAGCTGCAAATGGGAGTGGAAGGGAATGCGTGTGTATGAGGGGTACCGTGACTGTTATGTATGAACAGGGCCAGTCAAGAAGAAGAAAGACAACAAGAAAAAAAAAAATGGAGTTTGGGAATGAAAATGACAGCAATGCAATTAACAGGTCGGAAGAGGGACAGTCGTCAAGGCAAGCCGGAGAGTCAAGCTCCAGGAAAAGGAAGTTGTATGTGGGGTTCGATCACAACCTAGTTGTGAACAGGGGGGGCAGAAAGCAAGGGACCAGAGGACCATCACCACTGAAGGAAGGGGAGCCAATAAAGCTGCCTTCAGATAGTGATCCGAGTAGTAAGGAAGAGGGGAACCCAGAGGAAGGACATCGGTCGGGAGAGAATGAGCTCGTTGAGTTCATTGACCTCACCAGCGACGAGGAGGAAGATGAGGTAACAACGCCCACAAGGGAAGAACGGGGGAAAGGGGAGCAGCCGGGTGAGAAAAAGGACAAATGGACAAAAGAATTCGGACCTGAGTTCAGTAATTGGTTTGATCAATGGGGCACTATCTTGCGATATTAGTGGATTGTGAAGGCAAGGGAAAAGTTGGGCAGGGGAGAGGATCTATCCCCAACAACCTTCTTCACAGAACGGACATTCCTCCAGTTCCAAGGAATAAGGAGGCAAATGGAGCAGGAAATGGAGGATCGCGCAAGGAGGGAGGCATAACACATGCCACCTGGACGATAAAGGCACAACAGCCGTAAGGAGGAACATCTAGGAGTTGGGAGGGTTCGGTCCGTGGGCAGTCAGAGCTGCCATTTTGGACTTCGCATTTGAACTCTTTTTGTGAATGAATTTTCTAAGCTCGAAGTGGCTAAGGACTGGGTAGTCAGCGCTACTTCGTACGAATGGTTGCTTCTTCAGGGAAAGGCATGAGGGTTTTGCACTTAGAATAGAATTCGGGATGGCTGGGTAGATTAAGGGAAAGAAAAAGGGGAAACAGCGGGGAGCTAGACGAAGACGAGTCTGTAATGTTGTCTTTGCATTCGAACTCTGTCTCCTTATTTTTCCTTGTAAGGACTGCAATGAAACTACTTTTGGATTGAGGGAGCTAGTAGAGGGTGGGTGATCAGGGTTACTTTGTATAAGTACTCGCTCCGTTTGGGGAATATGAGCTTTTTGATAGAAAAAAAGGGATTGGGGGTAGATCGACTTTGTTTCGAGGAGATGGGCAGGGGCATGTGAACTCTTGAACGTTGGAAGAAACATTCAGGGCAAAAGTCTTTCTTTTGAGTCGTGTATCCATGATTGAATGAGTTGTTGCATGAGTCCTTGTGAGGTTAGGGGATCTATGGGTAAAGAGATGTTTTCTTCCCTAGGAGCCTAACCCAACCTATCCCAGACAAGTCCACCGCATTGGGAGGATATGAGAAGTCAGGAAAGTGGCAGGGAAACATCGAAATGGTCCAGCAGCCCTTGAAATGGTTGAGGGACCGGGCGGGCTAGTGCTGCTTGGGGCCGCGAGCCTCAACTTGAGTACTAGACGCTAAGTCGGATGTATGGATGGATGTGAGAATGACAAAAGACATGAGGAAAAGGAAGAAGCATGCGTAAAACCCCAAGATCATGGCCGCCCTCTAACCCCCGAGACGAGATAGGATCCGTGTCCTCGAGGCCCACCCCCTCGGGCGCTAACATTGCAATGGACAAGGATGACCCTAACCAGGCTGTTTATTTGCAATGGACAAGGATGGCCCAAACCAGGCTGTTCAATTGAAATGGACAAGGATGACCCTAATCAGGTTGCCCAATTGAAATGGATAAGGATGGTCCTAACCAGGCTGTTCGGCTTGGAATTGGAAAGAACGACCCTAACCAGGTTGTTCGGAATGACCCCTTACAAGGGTCATTCTTTGGAATTGGCACTGGGGTCCCCTTGCATGGCTGCTTGTGATGCATGGAATTGGAAGAGTGAAGCTTTGGAAAAGAGATTGGAAGAGCTGAGCCTCAGAAAAGGGACTGGAAGAACTCAGCCTTGGAGAGGATATTGGACTCAGCCCTGGAAGAGATATTGGATTGAGCCTTGAAATTGGGTTGAGCACTAGACTGAGATTGAGAATGGGAATGAGAATGAGCATTAAAATTGGATTGAGTATTGGAAATTGCATTACATAACCAGGGGACTCTAGGCAACTTGAAATGGACTTGGAAAGAACTTTGAAATGGAATTTCTCTTTTCTTCTAGTCTTTGGCCTCAGCTAGAGGGGGATACCAGTGTATGCACCGCGAACCCAAGACCTCTATCCCTTTGAGGGAAAAAGTCTCAGCGTGACCTGTTCCTCTTCAAGAGGGTGAGGGTTAAAGGACTAAGGCACCCACCACTTGGATCGGTGCGGGACGTCCGGAACCACCTCCGACAATGAGCTCTAGTCGGGGAGTTCCAACTGCGCCTCCTGTTGAACGCCTAAACGTCAAAGGGCGAGAGAGTCAAATGAGCAGGAAAGCCATTCTCATCTAGTCTATTTTGCTACTCTCCAACCACACGCCATGTCATAGAGGGGTGGCATGGCCGTTTGGGTCGGACCACGGCGGCCCGCGCTAAGTTGGGTGGCACTGTCCAAGGGGAGGGGCTCGGCGGAGTACCGGGTGGAGTCCGCGGCCACCACGGGGCATTGACACTGCCCTGCCGGAGCATTACAACCGCTTCCGGACTAATTGCGAGGTCTTCGTAACTGCACTCGAGGACTGATCGAGAGCCCCAACTCTCTTGAAAGGAAGAGGCCGGAATCCAAAAAATTACCACTCGGGAGGGACGATTCGCGATGAACACTCTTACGGCTAGGCGAGGCCCTGGCAGGCTGGGATTGGACCTATCTGGCAGACGTGAGGAGGAACCTTGGTATTGGTGCTCGCCACGTAAGAGAAGAAAGATCGGACCGGGTAGAAGGATGAGGCGTCGTCCGCTGGGAAAGAACTGATCACTCTTCCTTTTGTGAAGCGGATGGGCTTGTGTCCTTGACTTGCGGTCGGCGGGCCAAAGGTCTGCGTACCTCCGAGTGAGAACCAGTCGCGCGATGGGGACATCGCGTTTTGAGTGGGGGGAAGGTGTGCCATCTACCAATGAATACGCATGAAAACAAGACTAGTAATTGATTTTGCATGGGCTTGGGAAAGAGGGGCCTGTCAAGATGGTCGGGACAGAAAAAGATTGTAATTGACTTTGTATAGGCCTGAGGAAAGGGGGCCTGGCAAGATGCCAACGCAGAAAGGACTTGAGCAAGCGGCATGGTATGAACTGGAACTGGCAGACTAAGAGTTGGTTGTGTAATCGGCTCGTATAAGCTTGAAAAAATGAGAAGTGGCTAAGGGGTGAACCAAGCATTGCACATGAAAAGTCAATTGAGTAAAGGGCAAGAAAGGGCAGAGGATGATACGCATGCGGGATTGGCAAGACCTAAGAAAGGCTGGGAGGAACGACCCGGGAAGAATGCATGTGGATTTGACTATGTCTGAGCTTCGGGGAAAGGAGAAATTGTATTGAAAATGAGTGGATGTCCTAAGAGTAATGAATGAGACGAAACCAAAAGGATGTCTGCTCAAGAATGTTTTCTCAAAGAAATGGTAAGATAGATTTGAGATTACGAATGCATCCTTCAAGACATTGTCAAGAGCGAGAAGTAACGTACAATGAAAGACTAGTTGCAAGACATGTCTGTTGATGGACCTCCCCAAAGGGTAATGCTGGACAACTTGATGAGGAAAGAAAAAAAGAAAGAGACATCGAGCTCCTTAAAACCCTTGACGTGTTGCTAGCTCGCACCTGAAGGAAGCCATGGCGGATGATCCTTGTGACATTCGCCGCCAAAATCTTCCTCTTACCGCCGTCCCTGGGGAGGGTGATGGGCTCGTCGTCCTCTCTTTTGTGGGACGACACCGGGGGTTGTTGGGAAGCTCTTGGGTATTTGGGAGTTCCAGTGAGAAAGAGATACAGCTATGAGACGGACGTTGATACACAGAGAGTGTTACGCGCTCGTTACAAAGACATTATTGAGCTTGGAGATGTTACGCAATCCAAAGGAAACCCGAAACAAAACCTTGACCCCTCCATACCCTCCCCCGCCCCAAGGGCGGAAACTTAAAGAAGGACCTAAGAAAAGAGTGGGAAAGACAAAAAGAACCCTGGCAAGCTAACTACCCATCCCACCCCACTTCTTCTCCCTGTTTGTCTGTCACTCCAAAATCCCTACCGACCATGGATTTGTGCGCGATGAGGACATCGAGAATGAGTGGGGGGAACATTTCGGGACAAGTGAGTCCCGAATGGTTTCCCGTCACTCGAGAGACTGTATATGACCAATTTGTGCACGACAAAGAAAACCGGAGGCAGGAATGCTGGAAAGAGCGGAAGCGTGGGCACAGGTTGTAGGAAGCTAGAGGCTGCCCAGAGTCGTCAAGACCGCCAAAGCTAAAGAGGAATTGTCTAACGGGAAGCGACAAAGGAATGTGAGAGTATAGCAAGGGCGACTCCTTCCCCAAGGACGGAGGATGGCCGTCGGGAAGTTGGTAGCAGCATGAGAGGTGCGCAGCAAGGGAAGGAAGGAAGTGGGAAGAGACAGGGCGCAAGGCGCGGACGCGATGCGGCGGCAGGTGGGCCGAGGAGATCGCATGTTAGGGGAAACCGGCGCCCGGAGCGTAACGCCGTGTGGGACACAAAGGGAACAGGGGGAGCCGGAGACCGCCGCAAGGCGGAAGGACGTCAGGAGCACCATGGGAAGACGTGGTACAAGAGGGGCAGGAGTGTCGGGGACCACATGGGATCGGAAGACGGGGCGGTACAGGCAGGACAAAGAGCCGGGGACCACGCAGGACCAGGGGACGGCGTGGTGCCGGCAGGGCGAAGTACCGGGAACCGCGTGAGACCAAAGGAAAGACGTAATACAGGCGGGCCGACGTGCAAGGGACCGCGTGGGCCTAGATAAAATGGCGGCACCCGCGGAACCACTAGCAGGACGAGTATCGACGGGATAAAGTGTCGGGAGCCGCTGACGGGGACTGAAGACCGGAGTCGTCGGCGGAATAAAGGGCGACCGACCCAAGGGGAGTACACGAGGGCGGGACGTCACCCGGGACGACGCCGAAAAAAAGGGAAGAGACTAGGGATAATAATAAAAAGAGGAGAAGTCGGGAGCTGACCAAAATTGACGACAAAACGAGGAGAGACGGGAGTGAGACGGGAAAGACGGAGGGCACCTGGAGCGACCCAGGGGCATCCTGGATCAGACGCAACGACAACAAAAATAAAATAACCTGACACCGGGTGGATGAGACCGTCCGGACCAGGGAGTCCGGATGGAAGCAATAAGTACCGCCGAGGCAAGCGCCGGCGGGAGGTGCCGAGGGGAAGAAAAGAGGGAATAGCAGTGGTAAGAGGGGCCAGCCAGCAGTCCGAGTATCCCGGATCAGCCAGGCCAAGAAAAACGAAGTTCCAAGGGCTCCGCGTGGAAAGAAGACTGGCCGGAGAAAATCGAAGCAAGGGGGTCTCAAAACTGGAAGCAGCGGCAGCAAAAAGGAGCCCCCTTTGGCCTTGGGGGTGCCACCACTGCAGTCCGAGGTGCAACGGCCATATGTCGGCTGCAAATCAGGCCTTGGGAAAGGTCCAACAGCTAGAAAAAGGAGAAATAGCTGTTGGACACCTATCCCAACAGTAAATGAGAAAAGAAAAGGAGAAAAAGGCGGGAGAATGAAACAAAGGAGGAGGAAGGAGTGGAGGAAAAAGGTGCCGCCAGGTTGGGACTGCAGCGATAGGGACTGGCAGGTCTCAATGATGACCTCATCCCTCCTAGATCCTAGAAGGGCAGTCCGGATTGCA